TGTCTTGAATTGAACGCTGCCATGACGGACAATCTGAGTTTGACACCGTTTGCATGTAGATAGTGTTGTCCTCAAAGCAACTAACCTGTGAGGTTTCCCCCCCAAAAAAAGAAATGTCTGCTGTTGTGATTTGAACAAATATTAATTTATAAAAAGCTTCGAGCTTCGCAGTTCTTAAAATATGTTGTATGGTTTCTCCTCCGCATATCAATCAATCTTTATTTGTACAGCGTCAGTTCATAACAAATGTTATCTCGAGACGCTTTACAAAACAACAGGTAGAAGACTGAACACATCGTTATGTTACAAAAGAGAAATGGGATAATCTGCAGGAAAGGATTTCTTCTTTGTATTCCTCTCGTTCCTGTTGTCCACACTTCCTTGCCGTTGAGGTGGAGGTCGGAGCAGGAATGCATGAATGAGGACGGCGGTGGTTTAGGGGACGACACAGTCGGATGGTGGTGGCTGGGCGTCAGGGACGTCGGGTGGTAGTAATGCCAGATCACCTTACTGTAGGTTGGGGGAGCTCCGTCTACTCCAGAGCCTGGCTTCTGCTGCCGGGACAAGACCTCCTGAGCTTCTAACACACTGACACAGAAAGGGTGGAGGGGGGGTTATCTGGTGCCCCTCAGCGCCTCTTCAGATGTAATGTTGATAAAGTGATGGGGTATACACTGGACTGTCTGTGCATAATGTTTTATTGTGAAATTCACTGGATGCTCCATGCGTTCCCATGTATGACATCCTGTCCAGAAGTGCTGGAAACGTTTCGGTTGAAAATAGACTCGGAGCGTATTTCAAGTGAAGCGACTCACAGTGTAGATAGCATGAGCATTGACTCGAGAGGTCATGATCAGCTCCAGAGTGCAGCAAACACAGATCCCGTGGGGTTGAGCGGGAAGACTCCCACACTGCTGACATTTTCTTTCACATTTGTCCATGAAAACAAATCAGAGTTTGTCCAACAGGTGACTTCCTCTGGCCAAATACAAACTCAGCAGCTAAGTAAACCATCTTTCCTGCACTGAACTGATGTGACACAACAGATCTTCATCTTCTGATGCCTGCCACATTATTTGTCAATGGGCTGATGTCGGTCCACAGGGCTCATATTGGCGTTTAAGCGATGCATCTGTGCATCTCGGAGATTACAATTTTCACCCAGAAAAAGAAAAACTCCAAAAAGACTACAAATATGGGAGTTCCTGTTCGGATTGTGTCACTTAAAACTTGTCATCTTATAGATAGTTATAGATCATCTTTATTGTTCCAGGTGATCATAGGAGAGATGTGGGATCAGGTGGTAAGAATCTGAAATCGATCCAGCATTTAAGAGGATTTGTTTTGTTTGATTAACAGGAAACTACAAGAAACCAATCACAGCACGGCCCTCGTGGTTTGATTGATCTTTATTTGAGTGTGTTTCAGGAACACCTACCTGTGGCATGAAACCTGCAACTTTCCTCTCACTGAGTCCTCAAACATCTGGGCAGCTGCTGATGCTCTCCACGCGCAGTAATGTACGGAGTGACACCGAGCTGCCACAGCTGATGGGAGAGTTCACACCACACAGTAATTACTTCAGTGGGCTGTTTTCTTTCGCCCAGCTGACTGACATCTCATTAACATCCGGAGGCGTGTGCGCTTTGAAGGCGCCGCTGTGGGTCAGCTTTTATTGTTTTGATCGGCTCTCATCTCCTCTGTCCTCCTTGGCAGCGTGCAAAATGAGGATTAATAGTGTTTCATCCGAGAAGGTGAGCGCCGGAGTACTTCTGTTTCAAAGAGAGAGAAAAAGAGAGAGAGAGGAGGGGGAAAAGACGAGGAATCCACTCTTCAGTTTTCAATTTCTGCCGAGCAATCAGAGGAACAAAAAGTCTGAAAAATCCAGTGCTTACCCCGGATAGAGCAGACAAGTGTTCGTCTCCTCAGGAATCCTTGTTAATCTTTAAAAGGTGAGCGATTATCAAAGAGCGACAGAAGAGAGTTGCAAAGGCTAACCACAAAACCAGAGCAGCACAAAGTGGCTGAGCATTCCAGATTTAGACGAGACGTCTGTCTTTTAGCTCGTGGGCATCTTTCTGAGACAAATTACTTTCACTCGTCAATAGCCTGTAATTAAAATATACCCACTTGATGGAGAGGCAGCAGTGTCTCTCTATTTAGTTATGGGTTGGAAAGATTAATTCTGGGGTGTATAACCCTTGTAATTTTCCAAGTGCTTTTTATTGTTTTAGGATGGGGGGGGGGGGAGTGCAGACGATTGAAACGTCTCAGCTCAAGGTCTGCTTTGATTTGTTTACACTTCACACACATTTCACTTCTCTTCTTCTGTGCCCTCTTTATGCTTCTGCAACATAGCTGCACATTATCAATTTGAATTAATGTTTTGGAACTCGTCCACGGCTCCCTCACACGTCTCTGCTGCGCCGATAATCTTCTCTGGGTTTGAATGCTGAGGTCAGGGGGGCTGCTGCTGCTGCTTTTAAAATCAGGAGAATCAAGAGACTTTGGCAACAAACAAAAAGAAAAACTCTCTTACAGACTGAGGTCATCATCAGCTGCCCTCCTCCTCCTCCTCCTCCTCCTCCTCTCTCCTCTCTCTCTCTCTAAAAACTCTGTTTGAAATGAGACTCAGTGGTCCCCCTTGTGGCCAAAGCAACAACTGCAGCACATGTGGGGCTTCTTTTTTTTTTTCGGAGGCAGCAACATGAATTGTTGGATAAAACACAGGCTGCATTGAAATCACCAGCTGTTGTCTGTAATGATGAAAACATCCCTAACTTAGCATGAATTTATAATTATGCAGAAAGCAAATCTGAATCTCTTTACTGGAACTTTTCAATTCTCATTCAAGCTCCCAGGAGAGAGAGCGAGAGAGAGAGAGAGAGTCAGTGTGAATCATATGCAGAGATTGTGTGTGTGTGTGTGTGTGTGTGTGTGTGTGTGTGTGTGGGTGTGTATGTGTGTAAGTGTGATTTTTTTCTCCATCTTTGTTGTTTTTTTTTAAATGCAGATTTCAGTTGCTTCATAATGAAACTTTTGTGGAGACCCAGAACCACAACAAATGAACTTTTCTGAGAAGTATTTGTATGTATCGGCTTACAATAAGAGCTCCAGTCCTTCTGTCTCCTCTCTGACAGAATACACTCACTGCGGACAATCAGAATAATTTTCATGATTTGTCAAACCTTTCTTCCATCTCTCTCTCTCTCTCTCTATCTCTCTCGCCCTCATTTGTTCTCTTACATTGGCTGCTTTTAGCTCTTTTTTTCCCTCCACGCTGATTCTATTTTCAAAGGGACGTGTAAATTAAGTGTAAATGTAAATGGATCAGTGTGTTATTTATGCTAAACCCTGCAAGAGAAAACACATTCATATTGTAAGTAAACAGCTGCATTACCTGTGGGCTCCTGCACACCTGCTAGAGCAGAGCAGTTAGCCTGTGTGCAGATGCAAACTGTCAATCATCTCACACACACACACGCACACACGCACACACTCACACACACGCACACAAATAAATTCTTACACACAATAAATGAGTGTAAATGTGTGCAAGGGTGCACAGAAATCTAAAAACAGATGCATGACACAAATATATACGTGCAATCAAACCACAATTTGTGACACACACACACACACACACACACACTCACATACACAATGGGCTCACATAGGTACTAACCACATGTGCAGGAGCTACACACAGACACACACACACAGGATGGACGGAGACATCACACAGATTGGGTGAAGGACACATTTTTCTCCCTGCATGAAAATGTAATCTTAACTTCTATTTTTAAAATTGAGAAATATTCATACATAATCATATATAAGGATGATAACAGGATCCTTCATCTCCTCACTGCTTGTAACATGCTCTTTATTAAGAACATTTAATTTAATTTCTCTGAAACTTGAGATCTGTTTTTTCCCCCCACAGTCTAATTTCAGACTTTGGCAGGAAAGGGGGGAAAAATACGCGACATATATCCTTTACTTTTCCCGCACTGCGTGTCAACAGAGTTCCAGCTGAAAATCAATTAAATTAGCACAAATACATTTCGACAGTGTGAGGGCGCAAATAAAAGCTCCGTTATCTGTCGCTGTCCTCTGTGCCTCGGCTGATTCTGCTCCGGGCTGTGTTCTTAAAGATGTCCAAGAAAATAGGGAGAAAAAAAAATCAAATTATTCTGCTCTCCACGTAAATTTTAACAAATTTGCATTCCTAAAGCGTAGATATTTATTTTTAATTTTTTTGGATAGGCCCGGCGGAGGATTCTTTAATGTGATGGAGCGGCTGAATGTGTGTGTGTGTGTGTGTGTGTGTGTGTGAGAGAGAGAGATGGCCGGAGTTCAACCAAGTTACAGCATTAAAATAGCAACAGCTTGCTCTAGTTTAAAAAAATGATGCATTAAGAATGATAACAGGGGAAATAACCGAATAATAATTATTACTTATCAAGAAAAGAAAAGCTGAGTTAAGTGTTCAGACTGGAGAAATGAATGGGAGAAAACCAGCTCTCTGATAACACTGCACGAGTCAGAATGAAGTACAAACTTTTATTATTTGGGGGAACTTTTTTCTGTATTATTTCTGCACACTTCCAAACACATAGAGACAGATAAAACCCTTTAAGAAAGCAGCTTTGTGCGTCTGCAGGAGCACCTGATGTAAAGCAGACTATAGCGGCTTTACGGTTTCATATTCCCCCGCAGGTGTTCGGGGAGTGAAGCTGGCAGGTTGCCCTCCTGTTAAAACAACACGCTTTGACTCTTTACGGCGCAAAACGCGCAACGCCACTGCGCCCAATCGACTATTTAGCAGACTTTTTACCCTCTTCTTCTTCTTCTCTTGACATGCAAACATGTGGCGTGTAAATATGAAAATGAATGAGTGTGAGAGCTCTCCTGGCACTGACTTCTCTCTCTCTCTCTCTCTCTCTCTCTTCTCTCTCTCTCTCTCTCTCTCTCTCTCTCTCCCCGTGTCCCCGGAGAGCAGCGCGTCGGAGAGGAGCGGCTGTAAAAACCAAAGTGGGGCAATGAGACAAGCTGCGCCACAGCTGGCAAATCATCGATTTGAGCATCAGAAACGGGGAGGGGCGGTTCGTTTACCTGCCACCCTCTCAAAGCAGCCCTTCCTCACATGCCGCTACTCTCCTCTCTCCTCTACTTCACCCCCGCTGCCCGCAGCGCACGGTTGCTCGCATTTCTGCGCTCCATCCGCCGCGTGTGCGCTCTTGCAACTTCAACCTCCCGCCTGAGCGGTTTCTTCAAGACGACTCCCTCCCCCTCACCCTCATCCTCACCCTCCTCCTTCTCTCAGACACAGGACTTTTGACTTTTTTAAAGCAGTTTTTTCCTCCCACAGAGCAGTTGCCTATTTTTGGATCTCTCGCGGTGGAGCAGTGACAAGAGGTTGCTCAACTTTTGATGGAAAACAAGAGGTCGGGCGACTGCTGACTTTAAAGGTACGCTCTCATCGTGTCTCTGTGCTGTCATTCTCTCTATATACTTTCTCTGCGTGTGTTATAAATCACTTTTATTTTAGTGCATGACTCATACAAATTAGGAGCATCTCAGAGGATTTATAAGAATAAACTCTGTTCTACATGAATTCAAAGCAGCTTGCAGACCTATCTCCTAAATCACTTAAAACCCACACACACCAAGAGTGGCTGCTGGGGTTTAATATTTCATAACGTAAAAAAAAAAAAAAAAAAAAACGCAGAATGAATGCCATGCTTAATGGTAAATATAAATGCACGCATTCAGAACTTTCTTTTTTTTTTTTTTACCATCTAATTTTTAATGTGCAGAAAGAGGCCTGTGTCATTTCTGCACGAATGAGCAAAGCACTCGTGATATTGGCGGGGTTAAGTACATCCATCTCCTCTAATTCATTTAACAACTTATTCAGCGCGCAGCACAGGAGCGAGGAGAGATGCTGCCATCCTGCTCCTCTTGCTCATCAATTCATCAACTATATGTTTGGAATAAAAGTTATCAATTTTATCCCAGAATTATGCGCCTTAAAGAAATATTTTAGCATCTCACATTGTCATTAAATCAGGCCTTTGGTTAAGATTTCCCTCCCTGTAATAAAGTGTGTGTTCTTCTCAAAGTGCTGACATGTCTGTTGGAAATGCTGCAGCCAAACTGCCCATCTACTTTTACTACTTTTTATTAGGCCATTAGAGCCACTTCATTTATTCTCTCCTCACACTTAATATTTAATTACATGTCAACTTGCTTCAACACTTTTATCGCTGTAGCATGAAACACTTTGTGCAACTGTTAAAACACACACACACACACACACACACACACACACACGAGGACACAGGAAGGTGTTTTTAAAAAAAAAAAATCAGGTGAGAGAGAGAGAGAAGCACGTGGAAACAAACAGGTGAAGAATTTATTGCTCTCTTGCTGCCTGACTTGGTGTGAGACATTCATGTAGATGAGGAGATAAAGAGTCGTTATAATAATGCTGCTCGGGCTGCCTTGTGGCTTTTGTCACAGTGCTGATAAAGTCATTTCAGGTACAACCAGACATGTGTGTGTGTGTGTGTGTGTGAGAGAGACAGGGATGGAGAGCAGTTATGAGAAGATGTATTGTCTTCTTAAAAGTGCGTGGGCTCTGATGCTCTGTGGTTTACAGGTTTTTTAATGCTTTCACTCTGTGCTCTTTAGAAAAGAGCTGACATTTCACACACCGGCACGGCCAGTGGCTCTCACTCAGCTATGAGACCATTTAAATATAGAAAACCAGCACAAATACCCTCACAAAGACACCGTCATGCATCCGTCTTGAAGAATTTATTTGTAAAAATCAGCAGCGATGCCTCGTTTCAAAAAGGATGAAAGGCAAAGAAAAAGGGGGCTTTTAAAAATCCATTGAAGTTTGTGTTGAATCAGAAACTTGATCAGATAATTAAAGAGCTACAAGATTTTTTTTTTCCCCCGGATGTAATCTGCAGCCGTCAGCGTCACTGGTTGTTGTTTGTCACCTCGCTGTTTGTCAGGGGAGTTGTTTGCTTTTTTTTTTTCTCACTCACATGCGATTACGAGGTCAAAATTGGCACCGCTGCATGGAAAAAAACAAAACAAATCAGGTTATGGTACAGCAGCGGGCCAGTTTTTCTCCTTTTATCTTGTGCAGATCTGTGGCAGCTCAAGGTGGCTGTGGCTTATCTGGTCAGTGCCTTTGACAGCAGAGACGCAGCTCTTTTCCTGTCTCAGGCTGCCATGTGTCACTTCTTGTAAAAGTCCTCTGGCGAGACCAAAAAAGCTCCAGAACGTTAAAGCAGAACTTCTCCTCGCCTTTATCTTAAAAGAAAAAACCTTCTTTTTTTGGGGGTGATAATTTTCTGGTTGTGAAAGTGGCACAAAAACAACAGACACATCCTCAGCGGCGCGTTGATCTCATTGGCAAAAAATGTCTCCTCTTAAACTTGTTTGGCAGGAATGATAAGAATCAGAGTGTGAGGACGACGACGGCGGCGACGGCATTGAGCACGACTGCCAGGTCACACACATCCAGCAGTAAAGCCTAAACATCTGTCACAGCTTATTAGTGTGTAATGAATTCCTTTGACTGTGTTCACAGTCCTTACAATAACTGCACTGTGATTTACAAGCAGAAGGCGAGCGGGGGGAAAGCACCTGAGCGTTTGTACCTTTCTACCTTTTGTGCTATCACTTACAGCTTTAACCTTGTTACACCTTTTCTTTTTCCCGACTCCGAGCCGACTTTTGTTTTCATTACAGCTAATCGAAACTAGAGCGCGCTGCGTTTAGTGTACTGGAGGTGTGTGATGGCAGGAAATCAGCTTGTAGTCATCACAAATATTCAAGGAAATCTTCTCGTCTTTTTTCCTTTAAAAAAAATGTCTCAGTGGCACGTTTTGGGTTCCGGCTCTAGCTCCAGGTTGTTTGATCCACATTCGTCAAATTCTGCAAAACCAGTTAGACCATGTGCATTTGTCAAGCAGATTATTTAAAAAAAAAAGCAACAACCTGAGCTCTCGCTCAGTCTCAGGTCGTCAGACGAGAGAGGGAGAGCAAAGGCAGAGTTTGTCCTGAGACCCTGAGAGACCAATTAGTCTGCTCACTGGAGAGCGCCGCTTGTGAGTTTTTGTTTTGTGTTCTCGTGCTGTAAAACAACCAAAGTAACTACAACATGAAACTCATATGACACTCTCAATGATCCGCACGTGTGAAGTGTGTCATTTTCTTCTTTTTGCTGTGCTCTAAATATAAAGTACGCTCCTACGTTTTATTTACAGACGGATCATTTTTCTCCTGAATTATTATTGAAAAAAATAAAAATCAACATCCAGTCAAAGCGGTAAAAACAGAAACACTTGTAAGTTTGAAAGAGCTTCATGCTTTGATTCTTGTGTTTGAGCGTCAAATTCTAAAAAATAAAATAGAAAAACCCTTCCCTGCATGTGAATAATACGACACTCAGGAAATGTTCCTCCAAAGACAATCCAAAATGTCGAAACAATTCAACAATGAAAAAAGTCTTTATTTCTCATGTTTTAGTTCCACTGTCGAGTACGTGCAGATATTTCAGAGCTGAGGTCGTTGCTTCACTTTGCTGAGACTGATATCTTGTCTAAAACCATTAATCGTCTTCCCTTTACCACCTCGATAATTATCGCTGCAGCAAAATAACAGCTCAGCAAACAGTGAAATTATACCTGTGGTAGGCAGCAGAGTAAATACCTGTTTAGCTGCCAGCAAATGTATTTATTAGACTGTCGCCAGTAAATAAGAGGCCTGTCTCGTTTTTTTAATGTGTGGCTCTTTGGGGATTCCACACACACCACCACCACACACACACACACACACACACACACACACACACACACACACACACACACACACACACACACACACACACACACACACACACACACACACACACACACACACACACACACACACACACACCCTCCATCCCTGCTCTGTATGAAATAGCTCTGTTATGATTGCTAATAGAGGAGAAAGATAACAATGATTCCCAGCGTTTTTTTCTTAATAACAAGTTGCAACTAGTTTGGAAAAAAGAAAAGACGGTTGGTGTTAATAGGGACGGCTGCATTCCTGGGCTCAAAAATGTAAGAAACCCCCCTGCCCCCCCTCTCTCTGTGTTTCTCAGACGGTTTCAGACATACCACCCTGGGTGAGTGCTTAGTGTGTGATTCCAGAGTTACAGCTCATTTTGTCATTATCTGGAAAGTTCTGTATGAAAAAAAAAAAAGGAAAAGGAGAGAAGGGGGGTTTATGTTGTCCCGGCATGTTGGACTGCATTTATTCTGGCATATGCTTTGCATACTGTTGATCCAGATTCCTTGGCTTAGCGATAAAAGCGTCACATTGTGTTTTTTTGGGTCCTGACAATCAGCCCCCTTCGTCGGATGGGTTGGCGTTGTCCTCGCCGGGAGAATTTATAAAAAGAAAAAACAACCCAAAGTCCGTCATGTCGGTTTTGTCACGCTTTTTACAAAATGACATCCCTCCTATGTTTCGATTTTCTGTTGTCGCTCTCGTTATTTAGCGCGCGTCATGCTACCATGGCAAATATCATTTCAGAAATAAGAAAAGCACATACGTCTTAAGTTTGTCACAATCCAAATCGCATTATTACAGGTCTCAACATATGTTTATATTTTTCGTAAATTTCTTCAGAGGAAAAAAAAAAAGAAAAAGAAAACCCTCATTGTGTTTTATTCCGATGCTTGTCTTTATCCAATCTGTGTAGGTTTTTCTGGATCCTTTGTTCAGAGAGAGAGAAAAAAAAGAAGCGATTTAGAGGAAAGCGCATCCGCTAAGATCAGGTTGTTAATACCCACCCACATACTCCAATGAAACAATTTCAACAGATACTGATTCTCCCTCTCTCTCTCTCTCTCTCTCTCTCTCTCACACACACACACACACACACCCTTGCCTTATCAACTGTTTTGTTCCTCAGTGGATGGATGATGCATCCTTTGACAAGGGATTAAATATGCAAAGAAAAATATGTAGATAAAGAAACGGCATCCTTAAGTCTGCACCTCTTCTTCAATACTTCTGCCTATAAGCCTCCATATTAAGATCCGTTCTCCCCTCAATGCTCGCATCCCCATCTCTCCTTTTCATCTCAGCGGAGCGCCCACTTCCTCGCACACTGAGGCGAGTAACACCCTCCCATCACCTGCCTCCATTTCTTTAACACTCCCCGAGAAAACTCCCCACAAGGCCCGGCTGCTGTGCCCTTCACCGCCTCGCTGCAAAAAAAAAACCTGGGAAAACCCAGCAGGACGCGGGCGACCTTTCTCACCCCGTCCAGACAGAATCTCTCTCTCTCTCTCTCTTTTTACACACTGACACTCCTGTCTGTCTGACTCTTATTAATTGTGTATTTGTTGCAGCCACGAGGCAAAAATTAGAGTTTATTTATTCGGTCTTGTGA